TTTCCAGGATTACAGTTAAGTCACAAAGGTAGTCTTTGGCAGAGCCAGGACTTGAACTCTGTTCTCCTACACAGCTGCCAAGGGGCTTAGCCCAAGTGAACTACTTGTACTCCTCTCCTAGAGGATATAGAGTTGTCATTTAGGGTTGCCAACTCTCTAATTGCAGAAAATCCACCACCACCCATTGTAGAAACCTGGCACTGTCCATTCCCAGGGGCCCTGTCCCCCACTTACTTCAGCCTCTTTTCCTCCACTGTTCGAGGGGCCCTGTCCCCCACTTACTTCAGCTTCTTTTCCTCCACTGTTCGCTCTCTACCTTATTCATTTTCACAGAGCTGGAGTTGCTAGCTCTGAGGTGAGGTCAGGTCAGAAATGAAAGTTTCAGGGTGCAAGAGAGGGTTCCAGGCTGGGCCAGTGAGTCGGGCCATGTAAAAGGGCTCAGGCTCCCAGAACCACTGACCTCAAGTGGCTCCCAGGAAGCACCCAGCATATTGCTTCAACTCCTAAGCAGAGGGGGAGTTGAGGGCTTTGTGTGTCACCCCTGCAATCAGGTTCCTGGTCAATGAAAACTGCAGAGCTGGTGCTCGGGGTGGGGACAGCATATGGAGCCCGTGGCCACCCATACACCTAAGAGACACAGGGACATGTCAGGAAGTCTTGGGGGCTGCACCAACCAAATACTATGCTGCTCCCATTCGGGCAAAAGTCCCTTTTGCACAAAGCTTTTGGGCAAGAGGGCCAGTGTAGACAGCTCAGATTTGTTTTGCACAAAAAAGCCCCGATTGCGAAAATAGTGATCGGGGCTTTTTTGCGGAAAAGTGCGTCTAGTTTGGCACGGACACTTTTCCGCAAAAAGTGCTCTTGCAGAAAAGCATCCGTGCCAATCTAGATGCTCTTTTCTGCAAATGCTTTTAACCTGGGTAGGGAGCCTGCTAGCTTCACACCAATCAGACTTTAAATGGTGTATGGTTGCACTCCAAAGCGTTCAGGAAAGACTGAAGCCCCACATCAGAGCATCTCATAGCTCTTTGGTTAGGACAGTCATAGGAGAAGGGTCAAGTATCAGAGGGGTAGCCGTGTTAGTCTGAATCCGCAAAAGCGATGAGGAGTCCTGTGGCACGTTATAGACTAACAGACGTAGTGGAGCATACGCTCCAATAAATCTGTCAGTCTATAAGGTGCCACAGGACTCCTCGTTGCTTTTATAGAATTTTTCCTTACCTACTCTTGGTGATATTTGAAAAGAGATTCCAGAACAAAATATTTTGATGAATGACGAAGACCCTGGACAAAATATTTTGATGAATGAACCAACACCCTCACAGGGGACCAAGTTTATTCAGACAACTCAAAAGTAAAACCAAGTACCTGTCCCAAGGTATGAATTACCTCCAAGTCTGGGCGAACAAAAGGCTTCCTTTTTCATCTAGTCCTCTTCTGTTAGGGTACATTCTTAGGAGATGTGGCCCGGCTTCACCTAGTTATCCAGTTCATATCTGACTCACTTGTGGACACCCACAGTAAGCTTACCAGACAACTGCTTTTGTAGTCTTGTAAGAAACCTGTTGCTTGTGGTCCCCTCCCTGCACCAGGTGTCTCTGCTTAGGTCATTTATTAATCTTGCTCCAGCTTTCAAGTGCCTTGCAGTAAGCTCCCTCCATCCTTCTGCTCTCTCACTTCCTAGCTTTGAATTATGACTTCATGGGTTAGGGCTTTGGACTCTCCCTACAAACTTCAATAGAAAGAGTTAGTGAAACTCTTGTGGCACACTGCCAGAAATATTGCTGAACATTTTATTCACATGGAATTTAACCAGACACACAAAATGTTGATCGTGGGTTAAGAATCAAAGCTGAAGAGAATTTAAGGAACTCCCAAGTAAGTATGTTTGCACATGACAGTTGCTAGACTGTTTGAACTCTTTACAATTCAGCTGATGAATAAAAAAAATGTGACTTGCAATCTTGCTAGCAGCCTCCATTTGTGTTTGTAAATATATCCAGGTTCTTTCTGAATTGCCCTTAAAGCCCTAGCTGAAGATCAAAAGCCTTATGCTGCAACACAGAGAGCTGTGTCTCATTAAAGTAAACACTATGCAATAAAATAAAAAGCAAGGGCAAAGTAAGGTACACCTGGAGAAATCCTATTAGGGCCACCAGCAGGAAGCCCATTCAAGAGAGTTGCTAATCAACGGTCTGGAGCTGCAAACATGTTAATGTCTGGTTTCCCCTTCCCCTCATGGGTAATGAGAAGATCACTTCTGCAGCTTGGCCAGACAAGTTTTACATTTCCCCTGAATAACTTTTGATGAACCAAAGATTAAAAACTTTACCTACCAGAAAAAGGATGAACCAAAGATTAAAAACTTTACCTACTGGAAAAAGAAGAAAGATGAGTTTGAAAACTGAGTTTCCTGCAGTCCAGCATCCAAACACAAATTGGTAGCAGTAGGTACCTAACACTCTTGCAGATCAGGCCACATGTATTAAAAGGGGCATGGTTATATTTTTTGGCACATCTTCTGCATGTGTTTGTCTAAGTACAGTATGAGTCCTCATGTTTATCTGAAGAGAGATTACTACAGTTTCTATTAACCATTAAACAAATGCAACAGAGTAGTCTTGGTCTATACCCTTTTATAATAAATTATGCCTGAGGGAAAATTGATGACTGATGTAAATAACTCATTATTACTGGAAGCAGATGCAGTTTTTAGACAAGTTATCCCTCAAAGCTAAACATTTTTGCATTTTGAAAACTCTGCATAGTCTCAGGGACATGCATCTGTAACACATAGCAAATGGTACATATTCTTTGCAGAGAATGTTAATCACTAATGAAAGATTTTTTCCAACTATTTCCCTTGCAAGGGTGTGTATGTGTGGGGGGAAGAGACCAAAAATAATTATGGGTTACTAGAAGAGATAATTGAATACAGTAGCTTTCTCCTCAATTTCTGTAGTTACTGCAGCTAATGACCAATCTGTTTGCTTTAATAGCCCGGAGCCTGAGCCATTAACTAGCAAACTGGTCATTAACCACCATTAATGATCATGTTCTTGGAAATATTTTTAAGTATTGAGCTGTTCTCACAAAATATTATTAAAACTGATCTGTTAAATTTGAAGATAGAAGGAAATGTCTATTTCCCTTTCCCTTGATATGGCTTTGAATTTAAACGACCCAAGTTTCTGGCTGGAAAGTTAATTAGATTCTTCTTCACCCTCCCTCCTCCCAACAGCCCTCTTTTCTAGATATTGCTTCAATAAGCCAAAAAATATTTTGGAGATTATTGAAGAATAAAAAAAATTAGCACTAAAACTGTTACTCATAGTTCAAAAGATTTACATTAATTTGAGATATTAAAATCAGGGGGGGACCTCAAATTTTTAGTGAACTGCCAATATGCATGTAACAACCTACAAGAAATTTCCATTCAATTACATTTGGTTACAATGGATTATTGTAAAAATAATAAAAACTTTAAAACTCCTACCAATAGCAGCAAAGAAAAAGTAGAAACTGAAAAATTAAAAAAAAGCAACTCCTACCAATAGCAGCAAAGAAAAAAGTAGAAACTGAAAAGTAAACAAAACAAAACAAAACCACAATTCATTTATGCAATTCACTTGCTAAACTTTACTCAGATGGAACAATTAAAATAGATGAGTTAATGGAAATGAATTAGTGGAATTTTGTTGTTTGTAATCACAGTGCTGATAGGAAGCATTGACAGATTTTATTAATTAGAAAGGAGCTCCAAACAAACAACTAAATATAGCACCCTCCCTCTTTCCTTGTGAGCTGGGAAAGTTGGATTCAAATTTTGCAACTGATTATTAATCACCACAAAGCACACAACACAGCTGTGTTAGTGTTACTGCAGGAATCTCAAGTGATTTTTCCAATGACAACCTACTATTCAGGCCACTCCATGAAGTAACCAGACTTTCAGAAAGGCTTAGCCTCCAGCTGTTCCCATTTAGGTGTCCAAATGAGAGCTGAGCTCTTGAAAATTTGGCTCATGAACTTTTTTTTGCGGGGGTGAGGGGGGGAGGGTTATTTTAGAAGGGTCTAGTATCCAACATTAAAGCAATGTCAATTTTTACTCGTAACATAGGGTGACATTCCTGTCATGTTCATAATTCCCAAGCCAATTTTTTCCCCATTGTGGACAAATCAAGTTCTATGCTCTCACCCCAAGAGGAGATAGGTGGGGAAAAGGAATCAACATACTTGCAAGGCTGTTCTACTTGCAATTCAGCCCATAGATTAGTAGCAGTTTTGGCCTCCCTATCAATGGTGTATTGTGGCCAGCAGACTAGTGCATTTCAGAGATGCACCTGCATCCACCTATGCTCTTACAATCTGCACCTCCAGATCTTTCGCCTACTGTTTTTTATAAGTGGTAGCTTCATAGGATTTTGTTTTGCTGGATGAGAGCAGACAGGCATATGATGGCAACTGTCTGCATTTGTGTGCAACTGTGCTTTGAAGAAGGAAAGAGCAGATGAAGGACATTGGTATTACCCAGATACATGAAACAAAAGACAGGACTATGCAGCACTTTAAAGACTAATAAGATGGTTTATTAGGTGATTAGCTTTCGTGGGCCAGACCCTCTTCCTCAGATCAAATTGTGGAAGAAAACTGGTATGACCATATATACCAAAGGGATACAATCAAAGGGATGGTATATATGGTCATGCCAATTTTCTTCCACTATTTGATCTGAGGAAGTGGGTCTGGCCCACGAAAGCTCATCACCTAATAAACCATCTTGTTAGTCTTTAAAGTGCTACATAGTCCCGTCTTTTGTTTCAGCTAAACCAGACTAACACGGCTACATCTCTATTACTAACCAGATACATATGCAAGTTTGCAAAAGCCAGTTCAATAGACCAGAGTAGGAAAAACTTCAGAAATCACTAGGAGAGCCACTGTAGATATTGATGTTCTTAATCTTCCAATAAATGACCAATGAAAATTAAGGGAACTGCATAACAAAATGAAATTTGTTTATTTTGACAAATGCAATTTACACAATTGACAATACTTCATACTGTAATAGAAAGTTTATAAAAACAAATGTAGTCTTCATCACTAGAGCATGATGGGCCAAATCCTGAAGCACTGAATTATATTGAGTTGTGCCAAATAAAAATGAAATGAAGTCTGCACATTATTTGTCCCTCTGTTAATCTTAGCTAAGATTTTTTTGGTAAGAATAATCAGATTTGCCAGTGAGAACATTAAAAATAAGAAAGGCTCTGCTGAGTACAAATGTTACAGACAGCATGTTATCATTACAGTAAATGTCAGAGGTGTATTTGACTTTTCTGGTAGAGCCATCTAACAAAACCATTTTCATTCCGTCTCTCCACATTATATGAAATGCAGTTGGATTTGGTTTCATAAATTTGTCAGAGCTGCAAGACCACACCAATGAAAAGCCAATCAGTTCCAACTCCCCCAACTCCTGCTGCATTCTTGAGCCAAAACTCATTTTTATTTAGAAAACCTGTTTAATGTTTAAGTCATATCCATATAAAATTCATATCGTTTCACATCTGTTTAGTACGTTCACTGAAGGCTGTACATCTGTTTTGTGTTGTTCACTGAAAGTGTTACAATGAGGGACCGTGGATCCTTTCTATTCTTGAGAACAGTTATCTTTCCTTTCAAGGCTTCACCTACAAGAACAAAAACAATGATTGCAGTAAATGATTAGAACAGCAGTGTTACATTTCTCTCCTTTTACTGGTTTGCATGAGGAGCCTGTTTTAGAGCAAATAAATAAAAGTCAAAGAACATTACGAAAGCTACACCTATGTAGGGAGATGGTTTCAGCACTTCTACCAATAGCAAAGTCGATGTATCGTAAGTAGAGAAGGAGTAAAAGGTGACGGGATCTGAGGAAACGTTGTTCTAAGTCAGCCATAAAGATGTTAGCGTACTGTGGGGCCATGCTGGTACCCATGGCCGTGCCGCTGATCTGGAGGTATAAGTTGTCACCAAATTGGAAATAATTGTGGGTGAGAACAAAGTTACACAGGTCTGCTACCAGATTGGCAGTGGTATCCTCTGGGATAGTGTTTCTAATTGCTTGTAATCCATCCTCATGTATAATATTGGTGTAGAGAGCTTCTACATCCATGGTAGCAAGGATGGCGTTATCAGGGAGGTTATCGATGTTTTGTAGTTCTCAGGAAGTCAGTACTAAAGGGAAAGAATTCTTCCCTGAAGTGTACATCTGTTATTCCTTCATGGTGTTCAGTATGTAAACAAAGAACATTACTACAACCACGCCGGGAGGAATACTGAGTGATCAGTTTTAGTCTAGTTCACTTTTTACCACGTATGCGAAGTGCTTTCTATTTGTATTACAGTAACCCGGACCATGGTTTTGTTTTTAACCAGATTCTGAAGGGGAACGGTTTCAATAAAAAACATCATGAAATTAAACTGCACAAGCAGTGTCATAATTCAGAATAGCTACACCTATATTTCCCCACAGCAGTTCAATGAGGACGCCCACCCTCAGGTTTCTGACTTCACCTAGGAGAGGCAACAGCTGACAGACATGCATCCCTCTCCCTCCTGGCTGTGGTATGTCTAGGATCAACAGTTCTCTGCTTCACTGTGTTATTCCCAGAAAGAGACAGTCTAGGCAGGGTTGCTTCACTTTTCTCCTCCAACAGTACACAGTTTAATTGAAATATATGTTACCAAAGCGTCTTCTAAATAAGCACCAATTTATTCTTATGGTAAAAGCAATAAAAAACCTACACACATGCTAATGCGTTTAATAGAGATCCCTTCAACTGCAACATGGGCTCCATTAGGAGAAGCCTTCAATTCCCCTGGGCATTTTCCTCAGATTTCAAGTTCATTGCACCCTTTGTCCTCATCAACAACTGTTACAAGCAAGGGAGTCACCCATTTACCTAGCCTGGCTCTCTGATGTCCACATTATCAGCCAGCAAATGAATCTCTGTTCAAAATGCAGCTTCAAAAAGATGGATTTGAGGTGGTTATTTGCTTTACCCTCATTCCTATGTATTTCCTAGGAAATATGATTCATGCTTACTATCCCCAAAAAGATATTTAAAGTTCCTAATAGCTCCCAGAGACATTAATCCTGCCTTCCTCCTAAAGGCAAATCCAAAAGGTATACATATTTCTGCACATTTTTACAATAATATACAAACATTTGCATTTTCAATACAATGGACAATACAGAATTCAATTTAATACCTTTGTAAGGTTTAATTCAGTGGTCCTTAAACTTTTTCACTGGTGACCCCTTTCACACAGCCAGCCTTTGAGTGTAATCCCCGCCCCCCAATGAAAAACACTCTACATTTAACATACTAGACATGCCCAAGAAAAAGCAGAGTTTGGGGGTTGAGGCTGACAGCTGTAATAATCTCATGACCCTTCTGAGGAGTCACAACCCCCTAATTTGAGAACCACAGGTTTAATTCCATAATATTTGTTCAGGATATGGCACATCACTGTCATATTACTCACAATTAGTGTTAATTTTTATTAACCCCAAAAGAAAAAGTATGATTCACCAACAGATATTTTTTGGAGGGGGAGGCATGGACATGAAGGAGACATCTTGACAGAGTCCCACAGCCCTTTTCATAAGGGTAAAGACCAGGGAGTTCATATGGTTTTTCTGGCCACAGCCCAGCCGTGATAATTGCATTTATCTCCCCAAATTCCACCCCTGAAGGTTTCTGAAGTTCAATGTTTGTAAAGCACTTTCAGAGCCTATAATGAAAGATGGCAGAATAGTATTAACAATTTGGTATCTATGTACAGAGGGCTATGTATTTTTTAAGTTGAGTGTGGTACCATGTAAGATTTGTAGACAAATGCCTGCAGCCAGGAACCAACCTTTAAGTTTCCAGAGTTATATAAAATATCTTCCCAGGTAAGGCTTGGGCACATGTACACTATGCAGAATATCGACGCTGCTGTGGTCGATCTTCCAGGGTTCGATTTAGCGGTTCTAGTATAAATCCACTAGAATAAACTCAAAGGACACTCCATTCTGTGCTGGTACTTCTGCTCCTCACGAGGAATAAGGGAAGCCAAGGGGAGCAATTACTCCCATCAGCCTCCCACTGTGTGGACAGTACGGAAATGAGATGTAAGATACATCGACTCCAGCTACGTAATTTACATAGTTGGAATTCCATATCTTAATTCAACCTTCCCATGTAGTGTAGACCAGGCCAAAAGTGTGTATCCAAAAGGTAAACATATTTCTGCACATTTTTACAACAGATAGAAGTGGACAATAGCTTTTTTTCTATCGAGCTACAATTCTAGTTTTTATAGAAAAGTTTACTTTTCTTGATGGAAGATTCCTAGGCCAAGAGGACAGTGGTGAGTTTACAGTTATGAAGATCACCAACAGCTGGTCCATGCTTTATGGATTTGAAGAAACGGAAAGGATTAAGATCTAGAAATAATTGCACATACTTGCATAGAATAAAGAGGTACAAATAAATGCTGAAGTGTTTTGCAGTGCCACTAATAACAGTTCTGTACTTTTTAAATGTCTTCATGTACTTGGATTGAAATGTTATTAAAAAAGAAGAAAAAAAGGAAGCAATGCAGTAAACCTTTTTTCCTCGAATAAAGAATCCGAACTAGCAAAATAGCACTCGCTACTGACCAAAACACTTGGAAAAAACCTATAATTTCACATAAATAATTAATGAACACAGTTGAGAGGACAGATTTTCAAACAGGGATTCAACCGTTATTTGTGCAAGCAGTCACTGTACAAAAGTCAATATTAGTATTAATTACTATTGCGAATATGACTTTTTAACAAATGGCATTGCATTATTAATTACAATCCCTAATACGGCCAACACCAGTAATATCTAAGTGTTATACAAAGGGAGATAAATATTAACTCCCACCCTCACCCCCATTTTAAATAGGGGAAAATGGATGCACAGCCAGAGGAACTGCAACTTACTCAAGATCATATAGCAAGTTAGCATGGATCCAAGTGTCCTAACCAATAATCCAATGTCTTCTGCACTGGAACATGCTGCACAAAATCTTATGTTCAATGCATGTGAGCAAACAGGACTTCATGTATAAAGCATGTTACTTGTATACATGCAGAATTGAACACAAAAAGTTGTGCATGAACATGTATTTTGCAAATCTAGAGGCATTAGAAGGCATACTTTAAAGTTAATGAA